AATAGTTTTTTCGAGATTCCAGGAGCCGTTCGAGATCCAGAACTCAGTTTTCGTACGCATTTATCAATATAAGCTACATTGAGCTATGATTTTTTTCACATGCCTCTGACACGGTGATGGAGTACTTAAGGTTTAATTTCTACAACACTGGGTAATGGCATTTTGAAAATACTTGGTCGAAAGCGCTAATGTGCACCGTTTTTTTTTTTTCAGAGATAATAAATGTCATTTTGTGATGACAAATAATAATAAACATGACATAAATCAGCAATATGACACAAAACATTTATCAAACATACCCTAAATTCTCTGTACTGGCATATGAACTAAAACTGATATTAGATATCGTCAGAATACAAAAAATTGTTATTTATTTTACCAGGGAAAAAAGTATTAGATTTTAGCTCGAGGTTGTGAGCCAAAATCTAATATTTTTCCGTGTATAACACGCTATTTTGTTCTGTGACAGGAAAAAAAAATGAATAATAGGATAATATTGAGAAGATATTATACATAACTTCAAATTTCACATCGATAATATTCTGATTTTATTATGATGTAATATCTTCTCAATATTGATTCGTCGTTTTTGCTGTCACAGAAAAAGAATAGTGCATTATACACTGGAAAATATTAGCTAGGTACATTTTAGCTCTCGGTTTTTCGTATCCCTCCATTACGCGTCGCACAACCTCGAGCTACAATCGAATACTTTTCCCTTGCCTAATAAATAACTATTTTGACATCCTGTATCTTGAAGGCGTGTTTCTCGACCCTTTTTTCCTAAGAATTCGCGAAGAAATATCTTTGGCTCCCAATCATTGTTGAGGACTCTGTATATCACACGTAATAATCAAATTGATTTTTGAAACTCACCGGTGGTTTTCTCGTTGATTTTTGACATTCAATCTTCTGGAATTTTGAAATGTGAGTTGGAAAGTTGAAAAGTGCACCCCTATCTCACCAACATAACTTACCTAGACCACTATAATTATCATATCCTCAAAAAATTCAAAATTTTATCCAAATTTTACTCATCTGAAATCTCTTCTGCTCAGGGCGTAGAATGATCCATCCTCTGTCATTCACGCAGGAGTGAAATTTTACTAAATTCCAGGAGGGTCAAAAAACTCAGATAAAATTTATATAATATAAAAAATGGGAAGAGCTAAATTGTTTTAGGATTCAAGGTTAAATGCCTTCAAATTAAAAATTAGATTTCTCCCAAGAGTGGCAACAACTCCATATCAGTGTTCGCCAGGAAGGGGTTCTAAAAAGCAAACAAAAATTTTGTAATGTAAAAATACGCCGCAGGCGAAAATTTTGTTGGAATACGAGCTCAAAGGCCTTAAATTTGAAAATTAAAATTCTCCAGACTGATAACAACTCCATCACATTATTATATCATAAATTATTCAGTTACATAAGTTAGTTTGTTGCAATTGATATAAAATGATAACCATAAGTCTATTGTAAATTTCACATTTTAGAAATATTTGCCTCCTCAATCAGGAATATTTTATGTATGATACCTATTATTATACTAATTTATGTTTCACAATTTCGGAATAATTATTTTTCTTTCAATTTTAAGTAATGAAACAAAATGTATATTATATGTAGTTACAGGAAGAATGAATCTAAGTGGATTCACGACATCGACTTAAGTCACTTCTTGTTCGTGAACGTGAGTAAGTAAACGTGTGATATACAGAGTGAGCACGTAAAGGTTGGATCAATTTCATTGAAAGCTTGATATGGCCATTGAGAAAAAACTCAGGCACGTCGATTGTCTTCTTCACATGCTTATTTGTTGTTCTATCAATTCTCTTGATTACATCATCATTATAAATTAAATAGGGTCATGCATTTAACATAAAAAATAAGAAATAAGTAAAAAATATGACGTCCATGCACAAAAAATGCGTTATTTTTGAAAAAAATAAAATGACGTCATAACTCTAACAGTTATGATGATGAGACCCAGTGCGATCTCTGAAATGGATGAGCTTTTGTCTTATCTTATACCATGAGCGGTCTACATAGCACGCTATGTCGGGGCTGTAGCTTCTGCCTTCTCCGCCTCAAATTACTGGACACGCCACTGCTATTATTTCACTAATGAATAATAGATATAGGTATTTAGATAAAATAATACTTAATCAGGTACAGGTAAACATATCGATAAGAACCAGGAAGGTTACTATGACAAGGTTACTTTGTCAAAAAATAATACTTGTGAATAATGATGTACGTATACCTAACCGTAATCATTGTAATATACATACAGTAAACATGTTTGGCAAGTAGAAGTAATCGATTATTTAGATTTGAAACAGGATAATATATTATTGTATATTCACTCAATTGGACGAAAGCGTAGAGCGGTCAATATACATGAAATATTTTCAATATTTTGAGATAAAAATACGTGTTCAAAGGCCGAAAATTCGTTTCATAATGGAAAGTCGGTGTTAAAATGATTGGCCATATACCTCATAAAGAGTTGACCGCAGACACGTGTTTCGGGCTTTCGGCCCTCATCAGTACGGTGAAAAAAGTGCGAAAGAAAGGACAACACTTGGTGGGAGACGAAACTACAAATCAACGGAGTCAACAAACAGAAGCCAGCCGCATAATTGTGGTTTCGGTTAACAGACTCTGCATTCCAGAGCAACAACTAACATCACCACGGAGGCAGCTATAGCTACCTGCGTGGCATCCGAGTCCAGGAGTAGAATTATGATGGAAGGAATATTGGAGGGAACTGTTTCAAGTAAATAAGGAAGACATTATTGGACATAGCCCTTCTTTCGGTCTTTTGGTCCTCATCAGTACGGTGAAAAAAGTGCGAAAGAGAAACAACACTTATTGGTGGTCAACTCTTTATGAGGACGTCCAATAATGTCTTCCTAGTGTGCATGATAATTGTACTCCTTGGGTCGGATGTCACGCAGGTACCCATGCATAGCTACCTTCGTGGTGATGTTAGTTGTTGCTCTGGAATGCAGAGTCTGCTGATCGAAACCCGAAGGGAACGTCTGGTTTCACCCAATTTTCGATTCGCCCAATTTTCGATTCGCCCAATTTTCGAATCACCTAATTTTCGATTCACCCACCGAACATACCCGAAAGATGCGTTGTTGTCAAATAATGCCACATTTTCTCGGATCCAATGAAACTTGAATGGGGAAGAACACTGAGGAAAGAAATCCGTGCAAATATCTTTCAATCGACGAATCATGATTTACGTTTTATGTACAATCAATATTATGAGTTGAAGTTGAAGGGAATCGAATCTATATTGTTTTAAAATCAGCATATTTCATTCGATATTTCAAAAAGCCAAATATGATCGTGGAGCCGTGACGTATTAGTCCCGAACTGTAGCTATCCCTCTCTGATACCTCGTCATTCTGCAGTGTTGCAGTGTGATTGGTCAGTTCAAGGGTAATAGGCGTGTTGGAACTAAGACGTCGCATCAGTCACACCAATGAATTGACAAAAATTCCAATGGCGCAGGAATTGTGTGTTTTGAAATGAACATATTCTAATTTATTTTTTTCATGGTCTTAGCACGAATAAAAAAATTCAAAATTAATTCGCTTGTAGTTTTTCAGTATAGAGTTCACGATAATGTCGTTTTAAAAAATCAGTGGTCTCCCCCATATCATTTCACATTCGAATATCTCTTTGGGCCAACATTTCGTTTCACCCAATTTTCGAGTCGCCCAATTTTCGATTCCCCCAATTTTCGATTCACCCAACTTTCGATTCGGCCGAGTTAGGTAGGTAAGGTTAGGTAGTTTGGAAAAGGTAGTCTCCTTCCTTATGCAGAAAAGAATATTTTCCTTCCTTATATTACGTCGAAATTCGGGTCGATCGAAATTTGGTTCAATCGAAATTTGGGTGAATGAAATTTGGGGCGAATCAAAAATTAGGCGAATCCAAAATTGGGCGATTCGAAAATTGGGTGAATCGAAAATTGGGCAAATCGAAATATGAACCATACATATACATATTATGTGTATCAAAAAATTGAAATATATAATATAATGATAAGACCAGAATGATTCTTCATTCAGATTTGGCAACAACGCATCGTTCGGGTGTATTCGGAGATGGTGGACAAACCAAAAATTGGGTGAATCGAAAATTGGGTGAATCGAAAATTGGGCCGAACGCAACCTACCTCAACCCGAAACATCGAACACAAACTTTCCCAGAGGCTGGCTTCTGTTTGTTGACTCCTTTGATTTGTAGTTTCGTCTTTCACTAAGTGTGTATCTTCGGCACTTTTTTCCTCTTACTGATGAGGGCCGAAAGCCCGAAATACGGGTCTGCGGTTGACTCTTTTTGAGGGCTATGTTCAATAATTACTTCCTAATAGCACAGTTTAATACCCATTCCTTAAACTGTGCTAATAGGTAGTTTGCTTGAAACAGTTCTCTCAATAATCCTGCTTTCATCATATCTGCTATTTAATGTTCGTAAATTGAAGTCCTGCATACACTTTTGTAATATTTCTGTACCTATATTTTTTCCTTCGTTCGATCTATTTTTTGTGTATATACACTATATCTTGACTAGTTCTATCTATATGTCTATTTCAATGATCAAATAAAGATGATCTAAAACTATCTATGTGTTCAGTGGTGACGTCAAAATTACTACATTTTAGAAGTTGAGCGGGACGTAGGTATTTTTCATTTTAATTCCCCTCTGTACAGTAGTCCTAACGGAGGACCGAGGACAACAATTATATTATTTCACATTTTTATGAATAATAAATGATACCGATACGGAGAATTTAAAATATACCCCCCCTCTCCTATCAACTCACGATGTTTGAATCATGTTTGAATAACACAAACGGAGAAGTGGGGATTATCACGGCATGCTTTGGAACCTAATATGATGAACACCATTGTCAGGCGGCAGTTATTTCAGTACTTTCAGTAGTCGAGTCCTGAAACGCGAGCTCAAGCCTGAAAGTCGAAATGCCTGCGATGGAGAGTATTGGTCGAAGACAGTGCATCCCTATCATTTATACGAGGGGTACCCATTATGAAGTCGGATTTGATGTTGTAAGTTACCTTTTTTACGTACCTATATTTCAGAATTTACCGATTCGTGTATAACAAAATCGCTGTCGTCACAATACCTATAATAATATGTTATATTTTTGACATACTGGCATACAACTTATTAGGTACCTATCAGTTTCTTTTAAATGCCTCGTTTGGAATTTTTCTTCGTTTTATGCTCAATACATCCGTGGAAAGACGGTGAATTCGCTAACAATATACAAAGTGTTCCGTAAAGGCCCTGTGGAAGTGAAGGAGAATGTACAGTGGTTATAGAGAAATTTTTGGTAAAACTGCATTTATCATGCGATGGTTTTTTTTTTGAAATTTTTCTGGTACTTTCGTATTTTTGTCTGAAAAACACAAATTTGATCATGAAAATGTGAACAAACCACTATTTATCGAGATATTTTTAGAAAAAGTTCGAAACTTCGCCTTCTTTTTCCCCTTGTGTTGGATGCATTTACAGGTACTTGCTCTTTTTATTTTGTCATTAGACACTTTATATACTCATCTCATTATGCACTTCAATGATACAAAATGATATTCTTTCTTTTTTTGTGTGTCATACATTGTGATATATACAGGGTGTCCCGAAATAAGCTTGCCAAATTTCACCAGCGGCTTCTTCGACCAAGAATAGGAAGAAAAGTTTCAATGAACATGACTCGAGAAATGTCTCCTAAGGGAGCTACGGCCCTCTGGAAGGGGCTCCTGAAGATGATATTTCTTGAATATTTCCGAAACGCCTCGTGATAAAATGATGCAATTCGGTAGAAGAACTAAATTTTTCATGCCCAATGCGGTGAACATAAAATCATTTCAGAGTTTCATTCAGGAGTGTATAATACAGGGTGGGACTACATTAAATATTGCTCAAACTTTTTCGTATGCATATTTTTGGAAAATTTAATCTCGGATTATGAAAATCTACACCATTTCACGGAAAAAAGTGCTCATGTTCCGCATCAATTAGATGTATCATTCTCGAGTGAAATCGATTTAAAAATATTGATGCACTCAAATATTATACATAATGTTGCCAATTTTCAAATCATAGTGGCTATAAAAAATCAAGTACTTTCTTTTCACCAAACAATCTTATAAAAGCGCGAAAAATTAAAGAATTATGATGAAAAAACTACTTCAATTTTGTGCATTTTTTTTCATTTCCACTACGCCTCATTGCAATGGTATGCATAATATCTGTATGTAACAATATTTTTGAATTGTTTCTACTCGATAACAATACATCGGATTGTCACGGAACAGGAGTACCTTTTTTCTGTAAAGAGGTGTGAAATTTCATAATCCGAGATTGAATTGTCGAAAAATATGCATAAAAAAAGTTTGAGCGCACTATCTAACGTAGTCCCACGCTGTATAATACACTCCTGATTGAAATTTTGAAATGATTTCATCCTTACTGCATTGGGCATAGAAATTTTAGTTCTTATGTACCAAATTGCATCTTCTTATCACATGGAGTTTCGGAAATACCCAAGAAATATCATCTTCAGGAGCCCCCTTTCAGGTGGCCGTAGCTCCCCTAGGAGAGATTTCCTGACTCATGTTCATTGAAAGTTTTCTTTCTATTATTGGTTAAGCTGCTGGTGAAGTTTGGCAGGCTAATTTCGGGACACCCTGTATATAAATTGTCCAATGATGAAGAAAGAAGGGCAAATTGTTCTAAATTCGATCCAGAAGACAGGCGGAAAAGAAGGTGAAATTTGTAGCTCAATAAATAATGGTTTGTTCACATTTTCATTATCAATTTCGTGTTTTTCAGACAAACATACGTAAGTACCAAAAATATTTTTTTTCGAAAAAAAACTCATCGAATGATAAATGCTGTTTGCTGTTGGTATAATTTTACACTCGCTTCGGAATTATTTTTTCAGAAATATATATTGTTGAAAAATACTTCGAATATTTTAGTAGAAGGCTATAAAAGGTATACAGGCTGACTGACAAAAAACGCCCCGATCCGTAGCGCCACTATTTATTATCTGATTTTGAAAAGCAAGAAAGCAAATGAAATGACTCATGAGATACTACAAGGTGGCACTAACAATGTTTTTTTCCAATTTCAACTATAACCACCGATTGTCAACTTTTTTTTTTCAAATGCCATTGTATAATTTTCAATTTTTTTTCTGATAGAGATTTTTTTTCTGAATACAACGATGTATCACACTTGAGGTCTAGCGGGAAAGATTACAGAGATATAAGGGTGTTCAAAATCGACATTTTTCAACTTCAGGATCTTTTGTATCGAAACTATTCATTATTGGTCAAAACTGCTCACATGTCTCTATCTCAACTTTTGATTTACTATCTACATTAATTGGAACAGATACAGGGTGATCAGAATTCTCTGATTCTTGAACCACCCTGTATTTGTTCCAACTAAATGTCAGTAGATAGTGAATCAAAAGTTGAGATAGGCACATGCAAGCCGTTTCGACCAAAAATTAATAGTTTCGACACAAAAAAATCCTACAGTTGAAAAATCTCGATTTTGAACACCCTATATCTCTGTAATCTTTTCCGCTAGACCTCAAGTGTGATACATCATCGTATTCAGAAAAAAATCTCTATCAGAAAAAAAAAATTGAAAATATACAATGCCATTTGAAAAAAAAAAGTTGACAATGGGTGTCGTTATAGTTGAAATTGGATAAAGAAATTGTTAGTGCCACCTTGTTGTATCTCAAGAGTCATTTCATTTGCTTTTTTGTTTTTTGAAATCGGATAATAAATAGCGGCGATACGGAATCGGGGCGTTTTTTGTCAGTCAGCCTGTATATATGAGCAATGTTTTCATTAGAAGTTTCTTGAGTAGATTTTTTTTCTATAAAAGAAATGTTTCGAAATATGTCGAACAACTCTTTTTCAACACTCCTTCGTCTATATAGAACGCCAGATTTTTATGAAATTATTTTCCTAAGGAAGTAGGTATTCCCAATAACTTTATGACATCCAAAAAGTTCGAATGCTATTTTCCAATAATGGGAATAATCACCTCTCAGAAATGCAGTAGGATTAGGGCATTCAAAGTAAAGAGATTGAAATAAACAACTCAATAGGTACGCGCGATGTTCCACGAACATTATAAGAATTTCCTTTCGTGCGCTCCAAGAGTTAAAAAAAATGAAATTTTTCACTGAAATAGGTCTGAATTTATTGAAGAATATTATTACCACGGGACCTTATAGTACTAAAGCCTCGGTATATAATCTTTGGTCCCTGGGTAATAGTGATATTCTTGGTATATAAATAACTATCATTATCATTATGCATCCCCGACAACCTATATTATAATCGGTTTTGACAGATGTCACGTGAACAATGGTATGACGGCAAAAAGTGGGGCTAGATGCCAAGATATGGAAAAAATTATTTGAAAAAGTCACTTAAAATCTAAACTTATAAGTACTCATGTACCAAGCAATAATTCATATAGCTTGACCATAGTGAAATAGTTTTATCTCGATGATAATAATTACAGAAGCCAATTGAAAAAAAGAATTATTTTTTGCCTGGTCCCTCGCTGAAACAAAAAATGCGCAGTTGTTGAAATTACAGGGAATACCAGAGCAACAAAAACATTTCAAACCATCCATTTGATTTTGAATTTTTGAATACCTATTATTTTATAACAAATAGGTATACTATATAACATCGCTTGTCATGTCATACTGAATGACGGAAGGCAGAGGGAGGCTCCCTAGGCCCTTCCTAGTAAATACGCCACTGCCCAGAATAAGACTTGAATAGTATGTATGTTAAATATTGGCCTTGAACTGATGAAACGTGAAATAACTGTTTCTGTCATGTTTTTTTTCTTAAATATAGATGGGAATCCAGTTTTTTTTCAGTTTTAAATGCCAATTTCCTGTTGATTGCGAGAACACAAATGTTTTACTTAAAATTATAATATATACGCGTACACTAACTGAAATAATTGTTGACTGCTGTCTCTTCTAGAAAAAAATAACTACCTATAATTCATTCAATTTTGACAAGAGCTGTCCTTGTCTTCCCAGAAAAAAATAAATTCACCTATGAATTCATTCAGCTCGAATTCTCATCGTATATACAGTGTGTCCCACTTACCATGCTCACCATGGGTAACTTTTTAACGGTGAGAGATACGAGGTCGGTTAAATGACACCAAATGTGGAGTTTGTCAAGGCCAATTATAATGTGAAAAAATATTCTAATAAAATCTATTCGTTTTTATTTTATACGCAAAAAACAGGTTTTGATTATTTTCATGTATCCTCCGTAACTTCTTCATTTATGAAAATATTCAAATATGAATTTCACATTCTCATGGCAGTTTTCCTAAGTGATTTCGAAAAAATATGAAATTTATACCACTTCTTCTAGAATTTGAGATATCAGCACCAACTTTAGTTTTTCAAATGTAGGTCATAGCTCACTATGAATTAGTTACAAATAACTTTTTTTTCTTACAGATGATGTGTCGCAGTTATAGTTTTGTGTTGACAACAGCGGAGCTATCGTCATTTACACAAAAACAAAAAATTATATGGAAGCCGCCATATTGAATTTATAAATTTTAACAAAAAAATCATGATCTCCGACCTCAAGAACCCCCACTTAGGTACCAATTCTGAATGGAATCGGACCAAAGCTTGTCCGCCATCTTGGAGCAGCCATTTTTTTTATTTCAACAAAAATTCCATAACTCCGATTAACTTGGAATTTGGCAGGTGTTCATAATTTCGGTAACAATACATTACAGAATTTTTGTTGAAATTAAAAAAAAAATGGCTGCTCCAAGATGGCGGACAAGATTTGGTCCGATTCCATTCAAAATTGGTAAGTGGGGGTTTTTGAGGTCGGAGATTATGGTTTTTTTGGTAAAATTAATAAATTCAAGATGGCGGCTTCCATATAATTTTTTGTTTCTGTATAAATGAAGATAACTCCGCTGTTGTCAAAACAAAACTATAACTGCGACACATCAT